AATTTCACGTACTGTTAACTCTATTGTTCAAAGTTCCTGTCATCTGTCCTCACGGTACTTGTTTGCTATCGGTCTCTCACTTATATTTAGCCTTAGATGGAATTGACCACCCACTTTGAGCTGCATTCCCAAACAACTCGACTCTTAGAAACCGTATCACAAATGCACTGGTAGTCCATATCATCTACAGGATTTTCACCTTCAATGATGCTGCTTTTCAACAGACTTGTACATGGTCCAGCGCGGATAACAGTTCTACAAATTACAACTCGGACACTTGTAAAAAGTGCCAGATTACAAATTTGGGCTTTTCCCTGTTCACTCGCCGTTACTAAGGGAATCATAGTTATTTTCTTTTCCTCCGCTTATTGATATGCTTAAGTTCAGCGGGTAGTCCCACCTGATTTGAAGTCTAAAGATTAATTAATTACTTAATTAAGTTGATAGGGTTAGGAAGCTATTCTTCAAGTTGCCCTATTAGCGGATAGTCGGAGCGACCAAAGACTGCCTCAATGAAATATAAATACAACATCAAGTACGTCTTTTGAACTAATAGTATACCATCCAAAAGTGCTAATCTATTTGAAGCGAGGCGTTGACACGCCAACACTCAGAATCCGTCCCCCATGCTTTTAGAAAGAATGAGGGCCGAGGGGGGTTTCGTGACATTCAAACAGGCGTACCTTTCGGAATAACCAAAAGGTGCAAGGTGCGTTCAAAGATTCGATGATTCACTGAATTCTGCAATTCACATTACGTATCACATTTCACTGTGTTCTTCATCGACGTGAGAGCCTAGAGATCCATTGCTGAAAGTTATATAGTTATGGTTATCATTCTTAAAACTTCTTAAGTGTAAATGGGGGTAAATGATGGGTAATGTAAATCAAAGTTGCCTTTGAGATACGTACTGATACACTGCTAACCTTTTGACGGGCCACAATGCACCTCTGGGTTTGGGGGGTAATGGTTTATACAAAGAGTCACATTAAAGTGCGCTCAACATGTATTAATGATCCTTCCGCAGGTTCACCTACGGAAACCTTGTTACGACTTTTACTTCCTCTAAATGACCAAGTTCGTAGAACTTTGAACCAGTAAAGCACTGTTGCCAGCACCCTATAGGCTCTCCGAACGCCTCACTAAGCCATTCAATCGGTAGTAGCGACGGGCGGTGTGTACAAAGGGCAGGGACGTAATCAACGCATGCTGATGACATACGCTTACTAGGTATTCCTCGTTGAAGAGCAATAATTGCAATGCTCTATCCCCATCACGACCAAGTTTCACAAGATTACCCAATCCTTTCGGATAAGGTTATATACTCGCTGGCTTGGTCAGTGTAGCGCGCGTGCGGCCCAGAACATCTAAGGGCATCACAGACCTGTTATTGCCTCCAACTTCCATCAACTAAATATTAATAGTCCCTCTAAGAAGCTTTAGTCAGCCGTAGCCAACCAAGCTATTTTTTTTTTTTTTTTCGGAGACGCGCCTCAAATGATTTTTAAGTCATCTGAATTTTCCTTGTGGGTAGAATATGCTTGAACATGTGATCTCTTCTTAGAACCCTGGGGCATTCTAATACCACAATGTTACTTCATACGTCCGAGGATGAGCTTTGAATTACGGAAACACTCATCCCACGACTCTAAAGGGGAATCAACCCTTAGAGCTGCCTGTTCCAAAGGCCGACGACTCGAGACTCTTACTCGGTAAACTCCCTTTCCACAGCGCGTGACGTTGCCATAGACCTTACAGTCCCTCGGCCAGATGTAATAATCACAAAGGATGTGACACGAGCGTTATTTTTCACATCATGCCTACCAGAGTGTTTGTTTCAAATGGTGTAGCATCATAGAGACCATCAATTGACTTTTGGTATAACCCAAAAGCTGTTTTCAGGAATCTAGCCACAGGGACAAATCCATACAACGCCATATTTTCCGGCTGAATACCGGTTATGTTACCATACCCGTGCTGCCACAGAAACATGAACCGCCGTGTCGGTTTCATTTTTCGTAAGACATCCTTCAGACTTCCCACGATAGGCCCTGATGCTGATCCGTACCCACCCAACAGAAAGTTTGTAACTTTCAAGTCTTGTGAGTTCAACTCACTCAAGGCTTTAACTTCATCTGATTTTCGAAGTTTCAGGACAATCTCTTGGAGATGTTCTTGTCTTTGTTCTTGCAGAACTTTGCAGTTGAGGAAGATATGTGAAAGTTCATCTTCTTCCTTTAGAGTGGTGCCTTCCCTCCATTTCTCTTTGCAGAGAGGGCATGTTGATTGACCAAACAGATATGCTTTGCTTGTTAAGGAGTTTGCCTCTTCATGGGCTTTATATTGTGTCCTTGCAAGGGGCAGGATGCCCAATCTTGCCTTGACTAGGATTAGGACCCCATCTTTGAGATGTGGGTATCTGAGAGCTGCCTTCTGGAAATTCCGAGTTAGGCCGTATTCGTGTTTTTCGTAATCCATCTGTGAGATTGGACCCTGGAGTTTGGCCTCAGTAAGTTCTTTAGCCCATTGGTACGCCTTTACGGCCAACATTTCATTTTTGATTTTGGTGGCAGAATCATTATTTCCACTAGCTGTTATCCATGTCTTTGGGATAAGTTTAGGGTACTCAATGGCTTGTGCTTGCAAGCCCTTGATGATCATTCTGGGAACTACAAATTCCTTGTTGGCATGTTCTTCATCCGCTTGGGATGAGTACTGGTTCACTCGCTTAGGAAAGACGGCTGCAAAGGCGCGTCCGGTCTCTGCGCGGGTGATGGATGCCCAGGTTTTCTTTTTACCTGCCTGAGTTGCGCTGCATAAAATGTCTGATGCGTCAGTTTTCATAGATGCAGACTTTGCATGTATGCGGTAGCGTGCTGCTGCACAAGCAGCTGCAACAGAAGGGACACCAAGTTCCCAGGAAAGTCTGACGGGACAGATTGTTTTGCAATTTGGCTTCTCACCAATAGCAAGGAGGAGTGCTCTATCCACTCTTTTTTGTATGATGGATGTCCTAGTCTGGTTCATCCCAATCCATTCCCCTCCATATAGGGCTGCGGATAAGACATAGGTTTTGATCAGAAAAGCTTTTTCTGCAAGTGTCCTGCGTTTATCTCGTAAGAGGACGCCGTGCTGACCAACTTTCATTTTGACTTTGTTGGATAAGATGATGGTATAGGCAAGTTCTGCGTCATAGCCCACCCCAAGGTTGTCACCTATGTCAATGCCTAGGTATTTGTAAGAGGCTTGTGCATACACTTTGCCATCTGTGAGAGTGAAGTGATGTTTATTATCACCAGGATAGGTTTCAGGGTTCCCATATTTATCAAGGAAAGCCTTTCGGAGCTCGGGATCTTTTTCACCGTGCATGACCACTGCACATTTTGCGTGGCCTATTTTGAGGGTTTGCCATTTTTCCACCCACGCTGTGATAAGGTCACATCCTTTTTGGAGATCTTCGAGATTATCAAAGAAGGCGGCCGCATCATCTGCGTAGAGTTTACCAGTGTCACGATAGCGACCCTTGTCAATACCGGGTACAAGTACTCCGGGAAGTTTCTTGAAGAGATCATTTACAAAGATGATGAAGAGGAGGGGTGAGAGGGGGCAACCTTCCTTGGTGCCTATTTCCATAGGGTAGTTTTCTGAAAGTTCGTCACCAACTCTCATACGGAAGGTACTCTTCTTATAAGTAGTATCTAAAAAGGTGATAATGTTATCAGGAATGCCTAGGTGGCGGAGTTTTTTCCAGAGTGCTTCATGTGGCACACTAGGGAAAGCTTTTTGGAAGTCTATGTACAGGACATATGTAGGTTTATCAGTGTTGGCGCGTCTGCGTACAACCTCAGTGAGTGAAAGGAATTGAGCCATTCCTTCCTCGAGACGCCGGAATCCGCCTTGGTCCGGTGTGAAGAACTTTGCCCCATTCAGAGATGAGCTCATCCTTTCTTCAAGGATGGTCATGATGACTTTTAAGAAGGCGGTGGAGAGTGTGATACCTCTTCTGTTGGACAAGTTGATGGGGTCTTTCCCAGGCTTGCTTAGGGAGATGACTATATTTTCAAAGTCACCAGGTGCGGGGGTACCATCTTCAAACATGGTATTTAGGATGTCGAGTGCCTGCCTACCTGCGGGCGTCTCAAGGTCTGTTTCCATATCATGGATAGGAATAGGGTGATAGATGTGATCTAGAGGGTCGTAGAAACGCCCAGCAGGCGTCTCAAACAAGGGACGGAGTGGATCTGTTCTCCGTTTGACGGGTGCGGAAAGGGGTTCTTCAGCCCATTCCCAAGCAGCGTATGTGTCGTCTTCAACACGTGACACTAGAGAATTGACCTGTTTTGCTTCAGGTGTTTCCCATTGGAGGATTGAGAGCTTAGGTCTCTTGGATGATTTTTTCTTATCTTTTTTGGTTTTAGGATGGGAGCCAACATATTGGGCCCTTTCAAGTTTCAAGATTTCCTTGAATATGACAGGTGGAACATTGTCATCACCTCGTGCAGCATTTTTGTTGAGCCTGCTACAGGCTGTGAGGAATTCTTGGGAGGTAATGGGACCCCCAATAGGTAGTTTCTTGATTTTCTTGTCATCACATGTGAGGTTTTCCCAATAAGTGGGATCTTGAGAGACACCAGTTTTATCCTGAGAGAGAGTGCTGAAGTGCTCATATTCAGCTTTTGCAATGTCTTTGTTGGTGACACAGATGTTCCCAGCTTTATCTTTGCAGGGCATAGGGTGGCTTTTACGTTTGCCTAGGTGATCTGGAAGTGCGGCATTAATAGCTGCGTGGAAGTCAAGCATCTCATTCTCTACGAGATGTTTGGTAGTTTGTGCCGCCCTCTTCTTGGTTTGCAAGGTTTCAAACTTCTTTACAGCAGTTTGTGCGAGTCTACCCGCTTTTTCAGCGTAGTTGGTGAGTTTATTGAGTTCGTCAAGCGGGGTCCGTTTCTCCAGGGCCGCCTGGTAGATTGCCTTTGTCTTTCTGGCGTTTTTGATGAGGTTGGCCACTTTTCTAGGAAAGTGTGTAGTGCGGGGCGATTTTGCATATTTAACAGCGCCCCATTTGGTGGAGGACTCTACGAGGTTAGAGATCCAGGCAGTATTCTTTTCTTGAAGGGTTCCTGATGAGGGAAATGTCTTCCACGCTTCATCAGTAAGGATATCTGTCGCATGACCTTTTAACAGTTTGAGATCCCACTTTAGCGCAGCAGGTGTAGGTTTTTCGTATTTCTTACGAATCTTCATACTGATGGCGGCATGATCACTGACACCGTTGTACTGCAGTGACATTTGTCTACTGACTTTAGTTTTACAGGTGAGATCCTGTAAGGCGGGAGAGATCAACCAGTGGTCAATGTCATTAGGGCGACCTCTCTTGACGAGGCGTGTTAAGTTGGAGCCGCAGCATTCTTTAATGCTCATACGTCCGCCAGTGTGTCTCAGCGCAGCCTGAGCAAGGGGTATGGAGGTCATGTTGAAATCTCCTCCAATTGCAATCTTGCAATTTGGGTCTTCATCCAGAAGAGCATTGACTTTTTCCCAAACAGGCTTAAGTTGAGTTTTACGGTGTTGTCCTTTGTTGGAACCAGATTGGAGATAGACTCCAAAGATATGCCATAGACTGTCAGGCTCAAGGTGTGTGACAACAAGGTGTTGTATTCTAGGATCGGGCATAGGCTTTTCATAAGCACCTATGTCATTGCGGACCATCATGCATAATCCGTAGAAGCCAGGTCCGGCAGGGTGAGAGTAGGTTCTGTAACCTTCAAGTTTGGGTTCGTACCTCATGTTGGTCCTGCGGTGTTCGCCAATTACGATGATGCCGGCGGTGACTTGCTCCGCAAGGGATGCAAGCAGGGTGGCTTTCTTGTTGAAGCCATTGGCATTCCATGCAAGGAGAGAGGTATACCTGGTGGGTACAGAGGAAGGTTCCGGAGGTTTGATGGATACCTTGAAATCAGGGACATCATCACGATATGTCTTGTACAGGTTGACACGCCATTTGGCTATGTTGAAGCAGTCGTGGGTGTTTTTACCACGTTTGGGTTTCTTCGTACTTCGGCTGAAGAACAGGGGGATGCCCGGAGGGCGTTCTCGAGGGGTGAGCTGCATCATTTTGATGAAACCAGGTGCAATGTCGGGTGACACACATATGTCAAACGCAGGTTGTTGAAACGGATTACTTCGTTTCATGACGCCCACCACTTTCTGGCACTGGGCAGGAGTTAGTCTTTGACGTAAGACTGTCCAGACATCAACACTGGTACAATTGCCCGTGTTATTGAGAGTGAATTTCACCGAGTGTTTGAGATTATACTTGATCTCTGCCTGTTTGACACCTTTTTTACATGTCAAGGAGAAGTTACTTTGTAGTATTTGAGGCGTCGTAGTGAGATTTTGTTTTACTACTGAGGCGTAGGAGGGTCTATTTGACTTTCCAGCTGTGGAGGCGGTACTCTGAGTTTGAGTGCTTCCTTGATTTTGTTGACCTGTGGCGGATGAGGCATCACTAGTTTGGGAAGACATATCATTTTGTCCGGAGGTGTGATTCACTTTATGGGAGCGTGAAGAGGTTTTTCCTTTATTGCGAGAGGAGGTAGCAGTTTTGGTTTTCAGTTTAGTAACCAGGGCGTTAGTGGTGAGCATCCCAGAGTTGACTTCCCGCAAGTCGTGAGTAGGGTGCGTATTCGCATCCTGTGATGGCGCAACACTTTGGTTGTTTGGGATTCCACTTTGAGTGGTAGGAGGTCCCTCCGTATCAGCCGGAGGTTGGTCAGTGTGACGGAGGATATTTCCAATGTCACTTGTGATGTAAAGACGCTTCTTTTTGCTTTGTCTGATGGTGTGGTGTTCATAGTGGGTATCAATCCGACTTTGTTTTCTTTCCGAAATCTCTTTCTGAGTCTTCTTAAGGAGGCGGCGGTCACGCATCTGCTTGCCGGTGAGCTTGATATCCGTCTTGGACGGAAACTTGCGGTAGGTTCGACCATTCTGTATAATGGTATCCTCTTTAGGTTTAGGAACTCGTCGTTCAAAGATGTTGGTGGACTCGTCTACTACCTGCGTACGCTTGGCAGTAGCAAAGTTGTAGGCATTGGGCGCCTTTGATTTCCCCTTTTCAAGGGTGGTATGAGTTTGGGCGTCAGTACCCAGAGGTGGAAGACCAGTACGTCTTTTAAGGTGTGATGAAGTATTAGTATTGACTTCAATATGAGGAAGACTTTCAAGTCTTGAGGTATCGATCACATAAGTGCATCGGCTAGGTCCGCCAGTAGCTGTAGTTGGTCTTTCTTCCTGGGGAGCCAAAGTAAGACCAACCCCCAAAGTAACATTATTCATTGACACATCCTCCTTCAGGGAGCAAGGAGGTTTGATTCCCGCAGTCACTTTAGTCCCAGAAGTGCCCCTTGACGGACAGACCTCTTCTGGCGGAGGTAATTCGCAGTACGAGACAGGTCCCTCCACAACCTTCTCGGGGCCGGGGCCCATTTCACCCAATCCCGGACAACAGTAGTTAGAGGATGTTTCTTTCATTGTTGCATTTGAGTAAGATGTTTAGAGCCCTCTCACGGCTTTTCGAGATACACGGCGCATCTCTATGTGGCGTCAAGACACCAGAAGGGCACGGGATTATGTGGGACGGTTAATCCCGGCAAAAAGTCCGTGAGAAGATCTCTATCAAGGTGAGAGGGGGAGTAGTGGAATGTGGTCATAGACACCCTACTAGTGAGCATGATGGTTTCATGCAAGTTTGCGCAGGTTACTATAAGTGCCCACTTGTAGGATGTGACATGTTGCCAACATATGTGATACGGAAGGTTTTTACCGTAGGTGTAGAAGTTGACGTGTACCAGGTTGGATACGTCTATGAGCACTTCACCCGTCGAGGTGTGAGTTTATGCTGATGAGATAAACATTAGCATGATGGTTCCCACCTGTTGAGTTGCGTGAGAGAGGTGTATGACTCTTCAAGTCGTGAGGTTCTTGAGTTGAGTGATACGGGAAGTACGCGCCACACGTGGAGAAGTTGAGGTGTAAGATTCCTTTATGCGCATTTTACCTTTTGAGGTACGAGTATGAGTGTCTTCAATAGACATTAACTTGAAGGTGTCCACATATTGATTTGTGCGGAAGAAGGGTATGACTCTTCAAGTCGTGAGGTTCTTTGAGTGGAAGGTTTGCTTATGAATGTGTATCCAGTGTGGTTTGAGAAGTAACGTCTTCTTGGGCCGCAGGTGTTACTTTATATAGACAAAGTGTGTTAGGTTTAACTTGCGTAGATTGACAAATTTCAAAGGAAACCCTGGTGGATTGTAGGTTTCTCATAGGGTTACGTAATTTTACTCCATACGTAAAGGTATAGTATGTTACAAGTACTAATACCGTGTTTACAAAGGTGTACTTACCGGTCTATGTAAGTGTTGAGGTACGTGTCTTTATCCACGTCATGGTCTTTTCAACTTGTTGCAAGTCATTAGGCGTGATAAGTATCAAAGATGAGGCTTAAATGCGTAAAGTCTTTTTAGAATGAAGATATTCTTGTATATGTACAAGTTTTGTAAAGGTTATTTAACAATGTGTTATAATTAAGATGTAGATTTGTTTCTTTTTAATCTCAAAGTCAAAGACTTATTCAAGTCAAGTTTGGTCAAAGTGATATTAAGTTCAGGTTTAAAGGAGGCACGTGAAGGTATTAAGATAAACCAATTTTGATGTCTTATTTACATTGGAGACATTGATAGCTCCGGGCAGTAGACTATAATAAAGTATAGAAGGAAACATAGCCAAGACAACTTGTATTTGAGCGCACATACATGTATAGAGCAGCAGGTTTGAGATAAGACAAGAGACTTAAAACAGAATCAGGACGAGTCAAAAGCGCACAAGAGGATATCTGCAAGATATCGAAGAAAGGACTTCAAGTCTGAAAAGGAAGGATACCAAGAGGACAGGACAAGGTTGAGCTACAACGATTTAGAAGGCAGTTGTGAGTTTTTATAAGGTGGAGCTGAACAACAGAATTAAGCAGGTTTAATCGCACACAAAAACAAGGCATATAGGAAAGAAGGTTTATAAAACAACCTATAAGAAGACTTAGACGATTTGAAAAGGGAGACAATCCTTCTTTTTGGTGAAGGTGAGAAGTCTTGAGGTAGATGCATCGATTGAAAGAGCATCTATAGAAGTAAAGTAGTATGAACAATGTTAGTAGCAGTTCAAACAAAGGTGAAGGTTGGTAATATTGTTGAGTCTTACAATCAAGAGCAGTCTGATAAACTTCAAGTTTGACGAGTGAAGGAACCCAATCGTTCGATGGTGGTGGGTACAAGGTTCTCAGAGACAGTTGTGATAGTAACTTGAGGAGTAGGAGTCACTCCAGAGGTAGAAGGAGCGGAAGAGGAACGATTGAGAGTGTGTCTCAACCACAAGGCGTCACGGATAGTGATGTAACCACAGAAGGGACGATGACCTGCATCAGGAGCAGAGGCCATACAGTTAGGACAGGAGGGAAGATACTTCCAGTGAGAGTTGAAGGTTCGAGGAGTTTGGCGTCCTCGAGCGTCCCAACCAGCCATAGGTAAGTACTTATCCTTGAGAGACAAGTGTCGAAACCAACGTGGGATCGCTTCAGGTTTGAAGACTACTTCAAAGACTCTACCTCCTTGATAGGTGAAGAGAGGGCGTGAGGAGAGCTCGCGGATTTCAATGATGGAGAGGTGATCATTGGCAGGTTGGCTCCATAAAGAACCGTAGACTTCCTTCATGATAACACGATGGTGAAGGTGGAAGGGTAGGCCAGTCACTTGGAGGAGAAGGCTAGACATACGAGGGGTTGAGGTCGAGACATGATCCAAACCGTAGAGGAGGACAGCAGACTTGACGCTTCCGGATTGTTGAACAAAGACACCTCGCTCAAACTGATCTTGCTTACGAGTTAAGCGAGTTCTGGTTGTGCTGGATCGAAATCGCACCACAAAGAAGCGGTTGTTGCCAGGGCCAACAACTTGGGAGACGTGATTGACATAGGGAGAGAGGAGTTCAGAGATCACCTCAAATGGAGCAAGTTGACGTTTGAAGTCTCCAAGAAGAACCACCATGGCCCAGAGTTGATTGTCGGCAGAGGTGACAAAGTCGGGGTGGTAATGGTTCCACCATAAGCGGACTTCATACGGAAGATTAGAGGTGGGAGCTAGCGCATACTTAGCCGTGTCCTCAGCAGGATTAGGCGTGCGTAGGATGAGGTGTCCAGGTGAGGCTACAATAAAAAATAGCAAGGTATGTGATTAGCATAAATCACCAAAGAAGAACTCGTAGTTAGCAACTTACGGTAGGGTTTTTCCACAATAGGAATACCTTGAATGGTAGGCAAGGTTCCACCAGTGATCTCGACTTTGTCGTCGATGACTCGAGGTACAACAGGCGCGCTGGTAGGAGGTGCAGGTTGTTCAATCTCATCCTCGGAGATCCCATCGTCGGATGAGGCAGTTGAGTCTGAGTCAGAACCAGTCTCAGAGAGGTCAGAGCTAGGTAAAGGACGCTTAGAGGGATTAGCAACAGAGACTGAGCTGGTAGGAGGATCGACAGGAGGATCAGCAGGCACAGTGGTTGCTTGGGAGGGATCTTCAGCAGAAGAGGCCGTGATTTGGGTATTAGGTGGACCCATAGGCTCGTCGTCCATGAGGGTAGGCTGACTAGAGGTGGTTGGTTCATCGACAGCCATCGTGTTGGAGCTGGTAGAGGCCGAGAGCCGGGCTACCTTACGTGGTAAGTGACCAGAGGGGGTGACGTGAGGGCTGTTCTTCCTGGAAGACCCAGAGTTCTTGAGGGCTGATCCTCGTCGAGAAGCAGGAGTGGATGGAGCCATTTGAGCCCTATACCAAATGACCAAAGTCAGTATACACCAACCTGACAAAGGATCGTGACAAAAAGAAGCTTACGGGTGTTTCTTTTCTTGGTTAGAGCTGGTAAAAAGCTGTAGGAGAGGTAGATGATTCAATTCGAATCGTCTGAAAGGTTAGAACACATGGTCTCAGACTCAAAGTCATAAGAGGTACGTCTTATAGATGAAGTTGAACAGAGAGGAGGTACAAAAACTGACCTGATGTTGACTGAGCTTAGGGAAAGATCAAGCAGAGGTGCTATACTCAAGTAAGATTGTATAGGAAGGTTGAAAGGTATCTGTACGAGTTTTCTAAAGAGCAAGTTCAAAGATAAAGTAATTGGAAAGGAATCATGTTAACAAATCTGCTCGAGTGTTATCAAAGAGTTTGATAGAGATAATGAGACAAGGTACAAACTTGTAAATACGAGTTTTGTGAGGTTGATAGTGGTTTAGAAGTTGAAAGGCTTTCAAGGAAGAGTCCTTATATAGGTACTCAAGGTCATGATAGATCCTATTCGATCGATTCAGAGAGGTATCCATGGTAAACAAGATGTTGAGGAATGTGTGATACTGATCTACACCTGAGATAAGTGATCCGAGTATCTGAAAGAGTTGTGGGAGGGCTAAAAACTTCTAGTCAAGTGAATTCAAGGTGTAAGATCTCGATGTGAGGATATTAGATGAAGGTGAGTGATCAGGACAAGGCAAGATATGTATTTGAGGTGTATATGATCGAGTTTCAAAGGTATCTGATTCTTGAGAGGCTGGTCAAGAAAGCTGAGGTGAGTAATCAATGAGATCGTTTGAGTTTAAGCAGGTGTAAAGGTCCAGGTT